TGCCACCTCCAGGTCTAGTGCAATTTCCACTGACTTAGAGCTGCTGTACACTGAGTCAGTGGATGGCATTTGACCAACTGCATTTCTGAAGCTTGTCCAGTTGGGATTCAGCACCTTGGGTTAAGAGCTGGATCCTTCTGGTCAAGGGACAGGACTAGAGGAAGAAAGACCACCTGGCATAGAAGTATGGGTCTGTGTAGTATGTATACTCACACACATGAATACATTGATTGTTTTTTTGTTCTATCTCAGTTATACACTATAAATGCATGCCATTTGTACTATAGTGTTAAATTCAGATCGACTAAAACCACTAAGGTGATAATCTATTAAACATGTTTAAATCATCAGGTCCTATTGTGTATCTCTCTCCTTTCACATTTTATTTTTCCAACTTTCACTTTTGTAATAAAAAATGAATCATATTATGAAAGAAGTAACTTCTTTTGTTTTCTTTTTGAGATAAGGTCTCACTTTCTTTCTGAGATAAGGTCTCAGTCTGGGCTTGAATTCAAACTGCCTCAGCCTCCTGAGTGTGCAGCACATCACCACACCCTGCCTTTTGTTGTTGTTGTTGTTGTTGTTTTTGAAAGAGTTAAGGGAAGAGTTCTAAAGGCAAGAGAAAAAAATGATTTCACCAATAGGCTTGGGATCTAGCTTGCTCCTGATGATATGGTCAGGAGATGTCCTGAGCCATTGGTGCTTTTACAGTAGTTTGATTCAATTCCAATTTTACTACTGGCAGGCCTGGAAGTGATCAGAAGAATCAGGCTTTGCTAATTCTAAGGGACTGGCTCCATCCAAAAGCTACCCTATATCTACCAAGAGGCTAGGGACATGAGTAGTCACAGTTCTGAGGCCCTGACTTGGATTGAGTGCCGCAGGACTCTACTGTAGAAGTGAGAATGCTTCCAATCTCACCTTCTTTTCTCCCTTCCTCCACTGGAGAAGAGTGAACTGATACTGATCCACATTTAAGATTCAGATCTCAAGGGCCAGCCAAACAACTCAGCCAACTAAAGCACCTGCTTAGGCAGACGCAGGGGCCGGGAGTTCGATTCCCGGGCCTGCTGTGCTGGTCCTCCCTGGGGCTCTATGAGACTGTGATTGAGACTGGGCATGGTGGCACGTGCCTATAATCCCAGCACTTGGGAGGCTGTAAACAGGAAAATCACTATGAGTCTGATCTACGCAGTGAGACCCTGTATATCCTGTTCTAAAAATATGAGAGAGAGAGAGAGAGAGAGAGAGAGAGAGAGAGAGAGAGAGAGAGAGATTCAGGACTACTGTGTTTTAAGAAAAAGAATGTTGTTTTGGTATTTAAAAGCAAAGTAGAAGCTGCAGTTATTGTCCACAAGGAATTTACTGTTTAACCTTCAGATGAACCATTAAAATAAAAGGCAATTATAAGGCCACAAACATCACTTATAAACAAATGTGGAAGAGTAGAAAAGTAGATAACACAGATTTGATCTAGGAGACTATGTAAATAAGAGACAATTAACCTGGAGTTTTAGGTGTTGGACCACAGGCAGTTACTTTACTTCTAGAGCTTGGAACTACAGATTTGTAAGAGAAGAATAATTGCCAACAAGGGGCTGGAGGTGTAGTTTGGTGGTAGAGTTTAGCGTGTGTGAGGCTCTGGACACTCTCTCTCTCTCTCTCTCTCTCTCTCTCTCTCTCTCTCTCACACACACACACACACACTCCCATACATGCACACACAACAGTGGCACAGAGGGTAATTGTGGAGATTTACTAGTGGGTAAAGCACCTGACACAAGACTTTGGTACTTGTAAGCTTCTATGTATTTCTCCCAGTGCACACCTTGAACCTTGCTCTGAAGTGGTCCACCTGGCAGAGTATCTACATGGATCTCAGCCATCAGGGTGGTGCTCAGTGGCTGCCTAAGCACACCTGATGCCCAGTTTAGCCACACTGCATGCTATGATTTGTGTCTAGATGTGCCCCAAAGCATCAAGCACTCCTGGGTGGGGCTTTGGAAGCAGAGGGAAGCAGATCCTAGGAGTGTGATACTCTTTAGTAGATTGGCCCACTGCTGGCTTCTAGCTAAATGTGAGGTTGGGAGGTGGAGTTTGGTCCAAGGAGGGAATCCCTGAGGTGTTGACTCTCTGCTTCCTCACTGCCATGCCTTGAACAGCTCTCCTGTCATGCCCTGCTGCCATGTTGCCCTGCCTTGGAGCCAGCTGACAGTGGAACAAAACCTCTATAAAATATGAGCCTCAAGAAATGTTTCTTGGGCTGGGGAGCTAGCTCAGTGACATAAGTGCCTGCCTCACAAGTATAAGGTCCTGAGTTTGATCCCCGGTACCAAAAAAAAAAAAAAAAGAAATGTTTCTTCCTTTAAGTTGTGGGTGTCAGATGTGTCTCAGCTATGAAGAAAGAGACGAAGATGCTGTGTGCATAATTCTAATCAGAGCTTTACGGATTTGTTTCAGAACGATAAGAAACATAATTTAAAGGAGTAGAAATGAGAGGACAAGTGGTAAAGCTAATAAGTGTTTATAAATTAGAATTTCTGAGAGAATTTTCAAGGAATGGTCTTTCTCTTGGAGAAAAGAAGATTAAAAGTGAATTCCAAGATCATGTTCATGGGATACTAAGTAGAATAACGGCCCTAATCTCTAAGGTCAGAGAAAGAAGGAAAGAGTTTGCCTTAGAGATTGAGGGAAGAAGACTGGATGTAAGGCCAAATCTCTCTAGAAAATTATTAAAATTGAGATAGATGACCTCAGAAGCCTATGGTTTTTTGTGGGGTTTTTTTTTTTTGTTTTTGTTTTTGTTTTTGTTTGGCATTCCATCAAAACAGAGAGACCCAGTTTGGTCTGGGAGGTGCTGACCTGTTAAGTACTGGGCCAAAGAACTCTAAGAGGAGCAAAGGCCCAGGGGATGAGAAGAATGCAAGGGTGGTCCTTGAACTTTGGAAATGACAAGTTAGAGTACTTGGAATAATTTCAAGGCAAAGTACCAACATTCGTGGTTAGGAAACATAGGATAGGAATGCTGATGATGTAAGAAAAGACAGTGCACGCGTGGTGTGTGTGTGTGTGTGTGTGTGTGTGTGTGTGTGTGTAGGCTAGGCTACCCATTCACCTTCCAAATGACCGGTATTACTCTCTCTTGATGGGGCCATTTGAAATTCTTTCTCTGGCTCTTAGTATCTTTTTCTATTATAGTAAGTGCTTGGATTTTAAGTTCCTTCCCATCCTGAATTGGGGTCCACAAAACAGACCCAGAAAATGTCAATAAATCTAAAAAGCTATTGTAGTCCACAACCAGAGGTGTGCTGGACAGAAGAAACCTGCATGGAGAAAGGGGTCCATGTCTCTATCTTGGCTCCAGGGAATCTCCAGCCTGCTTCCTAAGACTCCAGTATCCTTCCTAAAATAAAGGTAGTAGTTGTGAGCATAAGTTAGATAACACAAGCAGAGAACACTATAATATCTAATAGCTTCCATGTTGTAGGTGTGTATGTACCAGTAACATGCATTAATAAAAATTTTAAGCCTTTTTATTTCTCATCATTTTATTTCTATCCTTATTGAATCTGTAAGTTATACTGTAATTAAATCGCATAGTTTGGTATTACGGTGATGGTGGCTTTTGCTTATTTTTAACACTTGTCTTTTCTTGTTTTGGCAGAATGGATCCTAATTCATTCCATTTTCCTGAGTGTCCCACTAAAATACACAACCCACTCCACTTCTCTAGCTGCTTCTCTATTTTCTCTGTCCTTTTTTATTTGTAAAGTGAAGCTAAGCATAATTATTCCTCATGCAGAGCTCTATGCAGTGGCTTTGGATCCACAGCGAGCTGGTGCTCCTGAATTTAAAGCTGCTGCTCTTGAACAGGGCCATCTGACCTGGGCTCCTGTGTGCTCTGTGGATGGCCGCATTTAAAGTGCTCCTCTCTTGGCCTCTGCTTTGCATCGCCCGTCTTGCTTGTTCTAAAGGTTTCCAACTCAGAAACCCCGCTCAACTCTTCAAAAGGCCGAACTGCCCACCCAGTTTCATACCCTGCAGCCCGTGGGATGTGCGTTGGGCTGATAGAGAGCTCAGCTCCAGGGTGGGGTACCAGGTTAGGAGTGGCCTTCTGCCTTTTGGGTTTGCTTCCCCGCAGGGGACATCGTAGGCGGCTGTACGGTTCGGCCACTGCACACACACACACACACACACACACACACACACACACACACACACCGGCCCGCCCGCGTCTGGCAGCGCCTTGGGTTGCGGTCTCCTTGGGGGTGGCACCTCCTGTCCAGGTTTGCGCCTAGCGGGGCACCCCGGAGCCACGAGGAACCAGAAGGCGAGGCCAGGGTGAGATGGGGCGCGTCGAAGTAGGGAGGGCAAACGCAGGCAGTTCAGGGGGCGCAGAGGGCAGCGGGCGGGTAGACGCGCGGCCGAGGAGCGCGCGGGACCAGGGCTGGCTGTGTCGGGGCCGCCCGCCGAGGGGGAGGAGGCTGTGCCGCCCTTGCTGCAGGTTCGCTGTCGAGCGCGCAGGAGGCAGGGACATGGGTAGGGTGCGGTCTGCGCGGGGGCCTGAGCCTGGATCTCTCCCATTTCCCCTTTCACTCGACCCCGGGCTGCGCTGCAGACGGCAGCAGCTCCGCTCCGCCCGAGCTGCCTGACCGCCGGGCCGGGGTGCTAACCGCGGGTCCCTCCAGCCCGCCGGCCCGGCCAGCCCAGCCCAGCCCGGCGGCCCGC